TACTCATGTAACATATTTTTCGCTAACCAGTTGCAGTGTACATTTTGAATTCGCGTATAACCCATAATCCAGGGTGTTTCAATAAATATGCAAAAAGTTATGAGCAGTCTTAACTCTTTGTAGCGACCTTGTTTACATTTAATTTCAGTTCCTAACCGTTGCTTTTTTTGCTTAAACGAACCAAAGGTAAAAAGAGGAAGCAGAAGTGTGGCGTCTATTTGGCTTCCTCAGTAGAGATGTAAGTCAGTTGCTGCTATTAGGGATTTCAGTTAATGTAAATCACTCTGTAGGTTCTGAGTTGTTTATTTTTGTGCTAAAGTCACAGTTTTTCAAAATTCATATCTCAATTTTGTAAGGATGAACAATTTACTCGCTTAATGTCCATTAACTAAGGAGAAGGACAATTACACAGTTGATCATCAATACTTTTTTTTTTTTTTCAACTGACCTGATTCATATTACAATAATGTCCGAGGTAATGAGGTAACAAAAACAGTTCCATCCCAGTTACAAAGGGTTAACATGAGCCACAGCAGTTTCTTCCAGCAGGACCTTTTTATCTTCAATGTCGGTCCTCGTAATGCGATGTTCTACGACGTGGTTCTGAGGCAGCGTGACCGGCTCGTTTGTTCTGTGCAAAAGGAAAAAAATACTTATAAAAATACAAAATATGTGTGTTTACGTCACCTATCAGCGTTGGGTTTTTTACTTGTTTTATCAACATCAATGCTTTTGAACTTTGCATTTACAGTGAAGTTCAGCAATTACTCGTATTAATAATGATTATTTTTCCCTGAACATCTTTTACTAAGAAATACAGAGAAGGGAACGTTCTAAGCTTTAAAGGATATGATAATAAATAACTTTTAGTATCTTGTGGAGAATCTTATTCGATCCCAAACACTTTATCGACAAGAGAAATTAGTGTTCAGCCGTTTTCTCAATGCCTTTTTCATCTTAGCGTTCTCTTCGGTTGCTTTTATGCCCTTAAAACACAGAAGATGAGATCCAGATGCTCAAAAGGAATAATATTCAACCGTTGGAGCTGTTACAGAGACAGAATACTTACTTGTAAGAAGTGTGAAACTGGCAACTGTGATAACCGCCCCCTTTGAGTTGAAGGAACATAGTTACATCACCTCTCAATATGTTGTTGGAGACGGTCATTTTCTCAAAGGAAGGGTCCCAGCCAATTGTCCTCTTTTGCATTATGGGTCCGTTAGCGGGAAAGTTAACGCCATGAAACATGGATGTGTGCTTAAACCAATTTCCCTCAAGACTGTATGATTAAGAAAATTTGAGATATCAATTACAATATGTAAAATTACTCTTGCAACTGTGTCACATACCTAGAGTGCAATGTACTCTGTAGAATAATGCTACGACGTTTTTTAAAACCTAATCCATTTTCTCAGAGGTGCCTATTTCAAAATTTAGCAGTCTGCATATTCTCTGGTCACTATGCTTTTTGTGTACGTCTGTTCCCCTGTAGCTAGACAAGAAGCGTTCTCGGGAGAATCACAACTAAGTTACACTTTCAAAAAGGGCGCTCCCTTCTCCATGTAAAAAATGAACTTGAAGATTAATTTTAAAGAGTATTGTGTCAATCCGAGACTAATCATCACTTTTATACCAAATGTGTCCACTGGCTGTAGCAACTCCTCCATCCTCAAATGTAAATGTCCTTTCAAATGACATTCCAGCAGGAAATGCTTGTTTGAAATAGTCAGGCATGTCGGCAGGGTACTTAGTAAAGCATCTGTTTCCATATTTGAAGACTGACGAAAGTATGTCAAAGGAAAATGGAAGGGGTCCTCCCTTGGTTACCAAAAAAGTGGACTTCTGTACTCCTCTACAATAAGATAACATAAGAGTGTTGGAAATTATTTCAGAAGCAGCTCATGCATGACCTAAAAAAGTATCGCAAATAAATTTAGCTGTGAGTGAGCTTTTATACGATAATTGAAGTAGCTTTACACTTCGCTTGGTTCTGGAAACAGATGAAGAATCGGTCGATGTCATAGACGGTTGGTAATTTGTATCACAAATGAATTTAGCTGTGACTGAGCTCTGCAGAAACCTTTACACCTCGCCTGATCATGGAAGCAGATGAAAAAGGTGCTGTCATAGACT